GACGTTTTTAATGCAAAAAGCCCCTGGTTCCCTGAACTCCTCTTACATTTTACACAGTAGCCTAATCATCTTTTGGGGGATGGTTAGTGGTGTCCTGCAGATGTGCAGTAAGGTTTCGGAATTTTCATTTTTTCATTTTCACCGTGGGGGTCAAATGGGGGTCAAAAAATGACGTTTTTTAAGCAAAAAGCCCCTGGTTCCCAGAACTCCTCTTACATTTTACACAGTAGCCTAATCGTCTTCTGGGAGGTGGTTGGTGGTGTCCTATAGATGTGCAGTAAGGTTTTGGAATTTTCATTTTCACCCTGGGGGTCAAATGAGGGTCGAAATATGACGTTTTTTATGCAAAAAACCCCTGGTTCCCAGAACTCCTCTTACATTTTACACAGTAGCCTAATCGTCTTTTGGGAGATGGTTGGTGGTGTCATGTTGATGTGCAGTAAGGTTTCGGAATTTTCATTTTCAAGTTTTTGATGCAGTGGAAGAGCTCTCACTAATACATATCAGCATATTAGGTTTGATAAAAATATCTTGAATGATTTATTTAAAACTGAGCTTAACACTTATTTGAGAAAAGAGAGGTCAAGGTCAATGGAAAGGTTGAGGTCAAAATGTTGATGCAGTTGAAAAACTTATATCAGTATGTATTTACTATTAGCATAGAAGTTCAACAAAAATATCAGAAATGGTTTATTTAAAATGTAGATAAGGCCAAATAAAAAAAATATGTGTGGTTCGGGTTACCCGACCTTCCCTATTTTATACCCCCGACCCTAAACTTTTTTTTGGCAATTTTCATATTTTTCCGGAATTTCCCCCAATTTCCATCAATGGCTCCAGTTTAAGTTTTAGTTTCAGCAATGACGGCCTCCTTGCAAAACATAGTGCAAGTGTTTAATAGTGTTAAATCCAAAGCAAGCTAGCATGTAGGTGTCCCCTACCAATATTGACTAGTATATTATCACACCACATCTAAATGCCATTTGCAAAGCAGTGATAGGTATTATTTAGAAAAAAAAATTAAGAAAATCATTTTGTTAAAAAAAAAAAATAAAAAAAAAATAAAAAAAAAAAATAAAAATCCCTACCTACCTACCCTAATTTTTTTGGAAGTGTAACCGCGGAACCACACATGTTTTTTTGTTTGGCCTAAACACTAATTTAAAAAAGTGAGGTCAAGGTCAAAGGAAAAGTCAAGGTCAAAAAAGTTGATGCAATTGATATCTCTCAGCAGTATAATTATATCAGCATATGAAGTTTGATAAATATATCTTGAATTGTTTATTCAAAACTGATCTAGACACTAATTTAAGAAAAGTAAGGTCAAGGTCAAAGGAAAATTCAAGGTCAAAAATTTTGATGCAGTTGAAAAGCTTACATCAGTATGTATCAGCATATGACGTTTTATTGAAGTCGGACATGACAAACACTATATGCCTCGGCCATATTCATGGCAGGGCATAAAAAACTTGAATCTACACTATATGAGGATGTTTCCATATCAAAATGACTAACAAGCAAATTCAAAGAATTGTGGTCCCCTGCTTTCCGTGTCCTAGTGGATGGGATGCCATTATTTATGACATATTGTTTCAAATATGCACGCCCTATCATATGTCATTCAAAAGTAATCACCAAAGTTAAAATTTTTGAAAATTAGGTAAAACATCAAGGTCAAGGGGTAAAAAATCATAGCATGCTTGGAAACATCTTGTTACAGGTAATGTACATGTCAAATATAAAAGTCCTATCTCTTCTCAATCAAAAGTTATAAGGAAATAAAACATTTTTGAAAAGTAGGTTAAACTTCAAGGTCAATGTCACAGAGTCAAAAGTCATGATATATTTAGAAAGGTCTTGTCACAGGTAATATACATGCATAATATGAACGCCCTATCTTTTCTCTTTCAAAATGATCATTTGAAATAATGTTAAATTTTTTGAAAAGTAGGTCAAACTTCAAGGTCAAGGTCATGGGTTCAAAAATCATGGTATGTTTAGAAAGTTCTTGTAGGTAATGTACATGTGAAATATGAAATCCCTATCTCTTATTATTCAGAAGTTATGACCAAGGTTAAATTTATTGTGACAGACGGACAGACTGACAGACAAATGAGATTTAATGTTCCCTAGGTCCCTTTTGTGAAAACGGACGACAATAATGCCCTTGCTATTCATGAGAAGAAGATTTATGATGGAAAAAATCCCCTGCATTTTCCTATGTAAATCATTGGATCCCCATATGTGGCCCCATCCTACCCCAGTGGGTCATAATTTTAACAAATTTGAAGCTACACTGTCTATGTAAAGAAAGTTTCAACTTTTTGGGCCCAGTCAGTGGTTCTTGATAAGACTTTTTTAAAATGATACCACCAAATTTTCACTAATTCTTGATTATCCCCCCTTGAAAGAGGGTGTGACCCTTCACTTGAACAAACTTGAATCCCCTTTACCCAAAGATGCTTTGTGGCTGGGTTGGTTGAAATTGGCCCAGCGGTTC